GGGTGAGGGGGGACAGACGGCTCTCAAAGGGCTGCTCTCCAGGTAGCGGAAACGCTGGGGGCTGTCGGGGTCCTCCAGGCCGTTCTCCAGGCAGGATGAGTCCCCTGGTCCCCCACTTGCCCCGTTCTCCAGTGGTGAAGGCTCCAGCTCGCTCTCAGCCGTGGTGATGCCCTCGTCCGTCGATTCCTCCTTCCTCCTCCTCCCATCCTGCGGGACCCCCCGGCCCCGCTCGGCCTCTGGCAGCATGTCCTCAGGGGAGGAGGACTTGGAGCCATCTGATGTCCCCGGCTCCTTCCTGCCACCTGCCTCCCGGGGGGCTTTGGCCTTGGGCTTCTCCGGCTCCTTCTTGAGGGGGGGTTTCTTGATGCTGCCGGCCTTGGCCAGGGGTTTGCGGGTCTCAGGAACTGGTGTTTTCCGGGCCGGGGTCTTGGGAGGAGCCTTGGCCTCTGCCTTGCTCTCCTTCGTGTCCTTCCGCAGCATCTCAGCCTTCACCTCCTTCTTCACCACCTTCACCTCCTTCTTGGGCTCCCCCTTTGCCTCAGCCCCCTCGTCCTTCTTCAGCAGCTTCTTCTCCTCTTTGCGGGGTGCAGGCTCCTTCTTGGGCAGCGTCTTCTCCTTGCTCAGCTTCGGCTTTGCCTCCACCTTCAGCTTCTCCATCGAAGAATCCAGCTTGGCTCGAGCATCCTTGGCTTTCTCCTCTTCCGACCCCGCTCTGGCTGTCTCCCCCAGGGTTTTTGGCTTCTCCTTGGTCCCAGCCTTCACCTCCTTCCTCTCCACCTTTGACGGAGCCTTCTCCTTCGGCACCAATGTCCCAGTGTCCACCAAGCTGAGCTTGGAAGCTGACTTCAGGCTCTCCTTGCTCTCTGCCCTCTTCTGCTTGAGTGGCTTCTCAGGTTGGGACACCAGCGGCCCCTTCAAATCATTCTTGGTGACCACGGGCTGCTTGAGGAACTCCAGGTGCTTCACCTTCTCCAACCCCTCCAGGATGCGGCCCTGGGGGGTGCAGCCGGGGAAGAGGACGCGGATGATCTTCTCGGAGGGGTTGACAGGGTGCCAGACGAGCAGGGCACAGACAGAGGTCAGGCACTGCAGGGGCAAGTCCTGCTCCTTGGGGTAGCTGTTCCCTGACCATTGTTGCAGGAGAAACTCCAGCTCCTTGGTGCCTTTCACTGGGTTCAGGATGTACATGTCCAACCTGCCCACTCCCATCTTCTGGAAGAGGACGGTGGGCTCTGCGCGAGGTCCGCTGTCCCGGGCCAGCGGGATGGGACGGATCCCCAACTTCTCCAGGTAGTGCAGGGTCAGGGCAGCCTCATCACAGCTCTTCAGCACCCGGGAGTTGCCCTCGATATCCTTCAGCTTCTCCGAGGCGTTGAGGAAGACAACACCCAGCTCTGGGGAGATGAGGTTCTTGGCCCAGTCGCCGTTGCCCTGCGAGCCCTGGGATGGATCCTCCTCCAGCTCTGCCAGTTTCCTCTGTAACAAGCTGTTGACACCAGGCAGGCTGTCCGTGCCCACGTGCGTCACCAGGATGGAATCGATGCGATCCAGGTGCCGGACCAACTTCCAGAAGGATGATTTGGGGTTGGAGCCACCATTGACCAGAACATTGAAACCATTGACAGCAAAAAAAGCTGAGTCCCCTCTCCCACCCGGGAAGATATAGCAGCAGGGCTTGGAGAGCTTGAGGAAACCAACCATGGTGGGGGGTTCGAGGAGGTCAAAGGGGGACTGGGGCTCCAGTGACTCCGAGAGGTATTCCATGAACTCCTCCAGCCCCTCCATCTCCGGCAGGACGCAGCCCGGGTTGTAGCGCAGCTCGATGAAGTCCTGGAGGTTGTGATGGTCCAAACCCGAGTCCTTCCACTCCCCAAAGTCGGGGCAGCTGATGGTCAGCCTGGCCTTGGCCGAGGGGTCTGCAGAGCTCAGGATCTCCCCCACCTGCAAGGGGACAGGGACAGCCAGACCTTCAGCTGGGTGGGGACACCCAGGGCCAGAGATGGGGCAGCTCAGGGGGTGCCCTGCATCAGCCCCCCACCCTTGGTGAGCACCAGGCACCCCCTTGCCAGGGGCTCCTGTACCCCCA